GTTCTCATTTTTCTCAATTTTAGCCATAGTTTGTTATTATCCCCACAGGAAAATGCCTTGTATAAGTACAATAAAACACAAATAGACATTCTTCTGGTTTTCTCTGCTTTTAGCAAGATTCATCTGGCAACATCAGTGGCATCCTGGGTGCCATGGTCTTATCTAAACGCAGTCTAAACTTCTGACAGTTTCCTATTAATATACTGTTCTCATTTTTAAAATAATCTTGAGTAATATTTTGCTTGCATGTGATAGTAATGATATTGTTCAATAATTTCTACATCCTTTTGCATCACATTTCTTGGGTATATGAGAGCAAATATAAATCTCTCCCAGTCAGTTGGCCAGGAAAGTATCTTCCAAACTTCCTGGCATAGACGAATGAACATGTCCAGGGCTGCAGCTTTTGTTTGGAACATATCAAATGTCATCCCATCAATTCCTGGGGACTTTTGCCAGTAATTTCAATGCAGTTAAAGACTCCCCCTTATCAACATTGGCTCTTTATCATATGCTGCTTCCTGAAAGTTTTCAGCAGCCACCAATTACTTTTTGCACAGCGATTACATGTATTCCTTCCATCTTCTTTTGATGCTTCCACAATCATTCAAGATTTTCCCATTTGAGAAATGCTGAGTGAGTTTTTCCTTTTCAAAACTGCTACTCGAGCTCTTTGCACAGTCCACTAGAATACTTAGTTTTATCTTCTGAAGCTCCTCTTTGGAATTTTCTGTTCATCTTTTTTACTTTGGCGTTTCTTCTCTTTGTTTTGGCTTCTCAATGTCCTAGGGCAATTTTCAGAGTCCCTTCTGACATCCATTTTGGTCTTTTCTTTCTCTTCTGTCTTTGTGAAGATCTTTTGCTCTCTTCACTGATGATATCTTTGATGTCATATCACAATTGAACTGGTCTTTGATTCTTAGTGATCAATGTCTCGAATCTGTTCTTGAGATGATTTTTAAATTCAAGTGGGACAGACTCAAGGTCAAAACTTACAAACGAGTTCAATAAGGCTATAGGATATAAGCTCAAAAGATAAGAATAAGTTATATTTCTCTATAGTTATGAAGAACAGTATGAAAATCAAATTAAGGAAACAAATTTTAAAAATAAGAGAGTGTCAATAGATTTCTCACTAAGGTTAATATATAAAGGGCAAAAAGAATATAAAAAGATATTACACATCAATAGTCATCAGGAAAATGCAAATAAAAATCATGATAGGACACTATTTCTTACCTAGTAAAGTGTCTCAAATGAAGAAGACCACAATATGCAGTGTTGGTGAGGACAAATGGAACCCTCTTAAAAGCCTGTTGTCAGTGCTGTCAGGAATGACCCATAGTGACCCTGTGGACAACAGATCTGAATCCAGTACTGTCTTGTGCCATCCTCATAATCTCTGAGGCACTCAAGTTCATTGCTGCAGTCACTGGGCCAATCCACCTGATTGAGGGTCGTCTCCTTCACCATCCCTCCACTTTCCCCAGCATCATGTTCCTCTCCAAGGAATAGCCTCTCCTAGCAACATGCCCAAAGTATGTGAGATGAAGTGTCCTCGTTTTTACCTTCCAGAAGCACTCTGGCCTTACCGTCTCCAAGACCTATTTGTTTGTTCTTTTGGCAGTCCATGGGATATTCAGAGCTCTTCTCCAACACCACAACTCAAAGGCATTAATTCTTCTTCTGTCATCCTTATTCACTGTGCAGCTCTCAGATGGATAGCAAGTGATTGAAAAGATCATGGCCTGAATCAGATGCATCTCAGTCCTCAAATT